CTCTCTCTCTCTGTCGCCGGCTCCCGGCCCCGCTCCCCCCCGCGCTCGGCCCCGCTCCGCTCGCCCGGTTCCTTCGCTGCCGCCCGACTGCTCCGCCGGGGACTCCGCGGGGCCTTTATGCGGGAGCGCTCCGTGACGTAGCTGCCCATATATGGACAGACAAAGCCGAGCCGAGGCCGAGACGTCACAATGGAAGCTCCGCACAATGGAACGTTTGGGGAGAGAGAGAGAGGGAGAGAAAGAGAGAGCAGGAAGCGGCGACCGGCGCGCGAGGGGAAGGGGGGACAAGGGGACAGGGCAAAGGGGGCACCACCGGGGACCCTGCCACGGGGGCAAGGGGGAAAAGGCAGCGGGCATCTTGCACTGGGAAAGGGGCGTCCTGCACCGGGAGAGGGGTGCCGGACACCGGGCATCACGCTCCGGGTACCGGGTGTCCTGCACTGGGAACGGGGCACCGGGAATGGGGCGTCCTACACTGGGAAAGGGTCACCGGGAACAGGGCATCCTGCACCGGGAAAGGGGCACCGGACACCGGGCATCCTTGCATCGGGAAAGGGGTACCGGGAACGGGGCGTCCTGCACCGGGAAAGGGGTGCCGGCACAGGGTACCGGGCATCCTACACCAAGCTCCGGTCATCCTGCACCGGGCAGTGGGTACCGGGCACCGGGTATCGGGGAATCCTGCACCGGGGAAGGGGTACCGAGCACCGGGCACCCTCCACAGAGCACCGGGCATCCCGCGCTAGGCATCGAGTCCCGGGTACCGGACGTGCATCAGGCATCCTGCACCGGGCATTCTGTGCTGGACACCGGGAACCTTGTTAAGGGCACCGGGCATCTTGCACCGGACACTGGACACGCTGCACTGGGCCGGGGGTCTCCTCCCCGCACTGACATCCCTAACCGAGAGATGCCGGACCCCCGCGAAGGGCAGGTGGCGGCGGCTCCAGCCCCTCCCTGCCCGGATCGTTCCCCCCGGGAAGGAGCGGGGGCGCGGGGACAGCCCGCCCCCGCCGTGCCTGACCCTGCGGCCGCCCCCGGGGCTGCTCAGAGCCAGGCTCTTACCGGGAGGGGTTTTTTTCCCCGACTGGAGACCAGGAGCGCGGGGGAACCGGCCACAAACCCCATCCCGCAAGCCGGGATGGGAGAGAAACGGGATGGGAGCTGTGCATGGAAAACCACAGCGCCAGGCAGTGGAGTTTGGTGGGAAGGAGAGGGTCAGCGGGGGGGCTGCAGAAGCCTCCATCTCCTCGCTGTGGTGGCAGCGGTGACAGAGGGGGTGGCTCTGCCCCGAGCCGCCCCCTCCCCATGCCCCGGCTCCCGTGGAGAGCAGCGCTTGGAATACTTTAAAAACAGGTAACACTTGTTGGTCGCCTGTGATTTTAACCTCACCTCCCCCCTTTAAAAGTTTGGCACTTCCAAGGCGTCAGTAATTAGGTGGTTTCGTGCTAAGTGTGCCAACTGATGCTATCTTTAAAACCCTCCGAGTTATATAGCAAATGTATGGAAAAATGCTGTGTTGCAATAGCTCCACTTACCCAATTCCTGCAGGGCCGGCTTTGCCATGGGAGTGAAATCCGGGCTACGGGAGGGCTGCGGCGGGAGGGGACCGGGCACTCGCTGCGGGGAGAGCGGGACGGACACACCAGGGGGGCTGGGGAGGTGCTGCCGGGCTCGGGGTGTGTCGCCCGGCGGTGCCGGGGTGGGTGGGGGGATGCTGTGGAGGGCAGGGCGGGGGGAGCGTGTACCGGGAGCGGGGGAGCGAGCCCTGACTTGGCTGTTTGTGAGTGCGGGGGGAGGAGTGGCCTGTGTGCTCTGTTAACTTCAGGGTCACCATTCACTTCAGGGCCCCCCCACGTCCACTTCAAGGCCCCCCGCATCCTCTTCAGGGCCCCCCATTCCCTGCAGCCCCCCAGCCACTGCAGCCCCAGCCACTGCAGCGGCGCCCACCCATCGGCAGACCTCGATTTCATTAGAAGCCCCCCCCTCCTACTTAAAACCTCCTCTATCCTTGCAGAGCTCCTTTACCCTACTCGGAAGCCCCCCTTATTCTTGCAGAGACCCTCATCCTGCACAGAACACTCCCATCCTTGCGGAGCCCCCCAACCTGCACAGAACCTCCATCCTTCGCAGAGCCCCCCCATCCTGTGCAGATCCCCCCCTTATCCTTGCAGAGCCCCCTTATCCTTCACAGAACCCTCCCCCATCCCGTATAAAACACCCCCATCCCCGC